TCCTAATTCAACAAATATGTAGCATGTATAGGATGTCTAAAAACCAATCAGGGAACGACCTACGTTTATTTACCGAATTCGCAAAAAGAAATAGCCTCTAGAGATACCATCAAAATTACATCTCCAACAGTAATTCGTTTGGAGGAATACATCTTTGGGGGAGGGACTTAGTTAACCTTACGAAATTCATAGCACCTTCCCCGTGCCAGGGGCGGAGGGTAGGCGAACGTGGGGCGCATAAAATAACCCGTCGCTAGGCAACCAAGGGCGACAACCCCCCGTCCGCCCGCTGAGCGGCTTCTGTGTAGCTTTTTCTTGAAATCAAAATTATTTGAAGGTAAAAATAATTGTGGTTTATTTTTTTATATTTCATAATTGCTTATTATTTCGCAGAAAAATACCAAAATTAAATTAGTTTTTTTTTTTAAATAATTGTACAGGGAACTAAGAATTGGGTAGGAAAGGTAAGGAATTGGGTAGCCCTTGAAATATGGATATAATATTCTAGTTGAAAGTTAGCTGTTGACATCCGTAAATTTCTGTGCATATATATGTTATTATTATTATTTCTTATGTACTAAACCTTTAAATTTCTCTCAAATAGGCGCAGCTGGTACAGCGATCGATACTCCAGCCAAACGTGACGATTAGGGAAAATTCTACATACTACTACTACGGTAGACGCCCATGTCCAGGCAGTCGATTTTTACGACCTGATGAAGAAGGAGAGATAATTCTTTATATTAACCACAAAATGCATACTAACCTGGTATGGGCGATTCTTCCAAGAAATGCTTGCTAGCTTTCGTATACCCGGAAAAACTTATAGTAGTGGACTATAAAAAAGGCAGATGAAGAAATAAAAATGCCATAAAATTTTAAAAAACTGTTTCGGGATACTAAGTATTGCTCTCACTCACTATTACTATAGCTCGTCACAAATCCAATGATGAACATAGGCCCCGCGTAGATTGATACAATGTACGGTCCTGAGCCACTTACACCCAATGACTATCTGCATGTTTCATCAGGAAGTCACTGCATCTAGTAAAAGGTCGCCCAATACTGTACATTTTAGTACGCTAGTGCCATTCGAAAACCTTTCTTCATCTTAATCTAATCAAGTCAACAGGACATACATTTAAAATATCTCCATTGGGCAAATCAAAGGGCATCTAATGCAAAAAAAAAATATGGCAAGATCAATAGTCACAAGTATATATGAACGCGGGCGGAGCGTTGACCTTCAAACCGGTGACCCTTCAGATCAATAATATTATAATCTAGATTTAGAACTGCCGCAACGTCTACCGAGAGCGATGGTGGTTCGATTGTAAATATTTAGGAAAAACAAACAATTACAGTTTACAAAGCATTCCTCTTTTTGAATAATTAACCACGTGGTATACGGTTAATCCCTCGGAGGGCATAGGCGTGAAGTGAAATAATGAATCTATTTACTTATATGTATTTGAACACATTTTTTTAACCACAAACTTTAAAAGGGGTGTAAAGGGGTTCTAAGAAAATACTGCTCAAATGTCGCTCGCGAATGTGTATTCGCGCAGTGGACTCAGCTAAGTAAAAAAGTAGTAAGTTTTCGAAAATGCTTAATCCAAATCCGAGGGACCTGTGACGGAAAGCAACTATACGACGAGTGGAAGGACAATATTGCCTGATGGCAATTTTGAGCAAACCTGTAAAACGATGAATTACGAATAGGTCAGCCCGACGGGGAAGTATCGTTCTCAGAAAATTAAAACGTAAAAAATAGCATAAATGCCATGATTTTTACCTTACACACAGCACCACGTACAAAAAAAAAATGAAATCTACAAACAAAAAATTAAGTACCGTGCTGTTTAGACATTATCATATTAACCTTATGTACGACAGTTTGACTACAGTTAAAATACCACACTATCCAGTCGTGGATTTGAGCTTCATATATACCTAAATACTTATGAAGATTACAATAACTACCACCTCTCACCCCGAAGTACGTACGAGCCATATACAAAAAGGGGTTACAATTCGACCGCACGACGCCAAGTATCGTAAATAAATGAACGGTAAGTCCTAACACTTAGAACTTTACGTCAGTACACAGAACACAACCAGGGCTAATCGATGCGTCTAGACACACAGGGATCTAAAATAAAAGCAGCACATTAAAAATTCCTATTTCAAACAGAATCACTGTAGTTATTTTAGCGCGGACGACTGGCTGGAAACTCAATTATAGAGCTTTCAATAGTTTTTCAGGCGTTTACGTATAAACACTATTTTTTTAAAGATTCTGAATTTATATTACAGAATGCCACGTTGTTATAGTGATCGTTGCTAATCATGAAGTCTTAGATTCGAATCCCGAGTTAGGCTAAAATGTTTGTATTGGGTTTTTGGGTGGTTATTGGGTCAACGAATTCTCAGTAGCAGTCCATAGTGAGGAATTTGGCGGTGTTTCTTCACCCTCGTGTCTCGGAAATCACGTTAGTCCTGCGCCAGATCTCTCTCCGGCCGTGTCGGTTTGCCGTCCCATCGGACTACGAGTATCACAGTGAGGGAATAGAGGAGTGCACCTGTGCTTGCACACAAATTCGTATACTTTAATTCTGTATTGCACAGATGGTTAATCCCCGTTGAGATTGGCCACCGTGACCGAAATTTATTTCATTTCCTTAATTTCTTTTGATTTTCATTCATATGCCAGCTCAAGTTGCAAATTAATCTTAAATAGTTGTAGGAACTTAGGTTATGATATTCAACTTGCTAGTTTCAAATTTTTACAACTTTATCTAAAATCTTCGTAATTAAGATAATATGTTTAGACTTTCTACTTCACCGTCATCATCGTCAAATTTCACACCTGAACATGGTCTTCGTCCAGTGTTTTTAGTTTATTTATTTTTTGTTGTTATTCGGAAGACGCTGTGGCCCACTTTATGCACAGGTTATACTTGTTAATTATTCTAGCTTTACTAGCTAATGTTAAACTAACTTTATTATCCTTGCAATATGATACAAAATAACATAACCAATAAAAGTATATAATGTTGTTCAAGTAACTAATTTAAAGTATTTTTAACTGTCGCAATAAAATAAAATAACTTTGTTTTACCGTTCACGATTGACGATTATCTCGGATCGGAGTATAGGCAAATATATCCGCGATAACTGTTCCTATTTAATAATAAAATTTTTATCAACTTGCGTAAAACCTATCTTTGAGTCACATCGACACATTCATAAAAAAACTTAATACCTGCATAAAGTTTATCACGATAACGTATTTTAATACTGATGAGCTGATAAAATATTATCTTATTTCTCGATAACGTTAAAAAGTCACTATGATGTACGTAGGTCATAGCGCCTAGGTTTCACCTAGGTTAGGTCCTTCGGCTTGTTTATGCAGCTAAGCAACAGTACAGCCACTGCTTCGTTCCAGTTTAAATAGATTAAAGTAGTCAGTATATATATTGTATTATACATTAAATCTTAATCCTCAGGTGTGGAGTAAGATTTAATGTTATTTTTAATTATTTTCTTTAGATATTAACAAAACGTTTAGTGATGAAATTGTATAACTACACAACTGTAAATCGTGATGTGGCGGGTCCAGTTACTAGTGTAAAATAAAGACAAACATATAATATTAATTAGTAAAAAAAGATAAAAGTACACTATAAAGACGATCGACATAAAAGCAAATGTATTTTCAGATAAAGCATAAGGCAGGCATTTACTTGAAAGCTCTTGAACATTCCTCTGATCCTACGATCCCTAGAAAGATCCGTTTCATCTCTTGAAGGTCAAGGACGAACTTTGAAAGGCAGTCTTACGCGTAAAGCTCAAACGGTTCTAGAGAAATCCATTGTTTTAATACCTATTCTGATTTTTAATTTCTTTTAAATTTAAATCTTTCTATAATAAACACGTCAAATTTGATAATGTACAACTTAAGATGTAGTAATAATAAAGCTGCATTATATGAATCGAAGCCGTTTATCCCTTGAGCTATTATAGGTTAAGCGTTAATCATAACTTCACGACTTGGGCTCGATCCCCGTCAGCACCAACGAAATTGTCACTTACAAATTAGGTGTTACGTATTGTTTGTTACTGTACAACAATTATCTATTAGAATATATAATTTTGTCAATTGAAATATATCAACATATCTAGCTACTACTGAATGTAGTTAGTGAACATTTAATTAAAACTTAACTTCAACAATTTTCATGCCGCGGGCAACAGAGCTTTTACATAATTCCCTACAACTAGTTGCACAATTTTTTTATCATTAGAACTTACAAACCATAAATACTCCTGAACAAAAGCCAAAAATTGTCTAAATGACAAAAATTGTTTACACAAAAATTGTCTAATATGAGGGATATTTGCTACAAGTTGCCACGCTTGGCAGGTGGACTAGCAACCGCAGTTTTATATAAGTTTTTTTTTTATATAGAATAAGGTTGACAAACGAGCACACAGTACACCTGACGATAAGTGGATGTCGTGGCCCATAGACATCTATATTTATCCTCGGATTAAGAATCAAACCGCAGCTGCGTTGTCAACCCTGAGGACTAAGATGGAATGCCTCGTTTCCAGTAAAAAAACGGATCTCCATATCTCTACATACACCATACGAAACACAGCAGTATTAAGCTGCTATTTCACGCTGGTATTCTGTGAGAGCCTTGCCCGGTCGAGACGACCCATTCTTGCTACAACCATAATAAAGCTGCGAGGCTAAGCACTAACCAAGTTAATCATCATTCAGACCAACAATATCAAGGATAATATAAGATATACCTAAAGTTCAATTCAGTGAGTGTGTGTGAGTGTGTGTGAGTGAGTCTGAGCCGAACTTAAAATCACTAACAATAATTTATTAATTTACGGCATTTACTAAAATATATTTTTTATATATTTTAGTAAATGCCGTAAACTTTAATATAAGACAACTATAAACATAAAAAAATACTTACATTCTGTAGGCGTTCAAAGTCTTCGACATTATAGATTTGCTAGTCGACTAGCGTCTACTGTCCATTCCACTACACTAAAATATTTTAACTAACACTGTTGTTTACAATCACTAACACTAAGCGGTAAAACGTTCATACAAAAATATTGCTGCGTTGATTGTTTAAATACTGCAAAACACTAGAATCGTATTCAATTATTATAATTCTCTAATATCTAATTAAAGTGATACTACGTTTAGAAATAACAAATTTGATACACACGATTAAATATTTACAAAATACTATGAAAATTTTCATTTTAATAAAAGAAGAATTTGTTGTTCAGATAGTAAAAGTGAGGAATATAGCAGGAATTGCTAAACGACTTCAAAAACCTGTAAATAAATTCTCAATGACAAAATAGATTCTAATATAGAAGAAAATTTAAAAATCCATGTTTTGATAATTGCACATCTACAAATACTTTATTTAAGTTAAAGAAAACATAATAAGCAACAAATGCCATCTTTATTTAATAAAAAAATTTATTACTTTGCAACCTTCCTAAAATTAAACAATGTCTAGAATACCAACGGTATAGGCGAAATTAGAAGTCAACGTTACAACAGCTAACTACAAAAATCTTTCAGGCACTCAACTAGTGTTACATATAAAATCCATACAAATCCATACCATTATAGTATAAGAACATGGGCCCCTCCATAGATACTCTCAAGGAGGGTATTTGTCATAGTCATAGCGTTTGGAAGGTGAATTGGCAACAGCAGTTTTTTTAACCCCCGCCGAAAACAGAGGGTTATAAGTTTGTTATAAGATTGTAGTGTGTAGGTATCTGTGTCTCTGTTTGTGGCATCATAGCTCTTCAACAGATGAACCGATTTTGATTCAGTTTTTATCGTTTGAAAGGTGTTTTAATCGTGAGTGTTTTTAGCTGTTTTAAGAAAATCTATTCAGCCTTTTGAAGATCATCAATTGTTTTTGTTTCGAAGTTTTTTTTTTTAATTTTTAAAATAAGTTATTATTATCTAATTCGGGAAGACGCTACTGCACGTCTCCTGGTTTATAAGATAAGGCATAGTGGATATTTTTATACCGCTACCACACAGCACTAAGCATTTATTTACGCCTATCGAAGTAGAAGGTAGAAATTGACTTAAGGCTTTATATTATACTGTACCCTTAATATACAATTTAAAAAAAAGTTGTATGTCTCAGGAATTAAAATATTTCGAAGACATGTGAAGCACTGGAGCAGAGCGGCAAATTGTTTGCTCGATAACCCTACCAGAATGAGACGAAACCTGCGGTCAAGAGAGATTCCTTTACAGGCTAACTTAACTGCAAAATAAATAAACAAAACAAACTAAAATGTGACATAACAATGTAGGTAGCAACACCGGTCATACGCGTGCGATTTTTAGCACACAGAAAAAAGAGATCCCTGCCAATTATTGCACAATCAACAAAGATAGCAACATGCGTTGGACGTGAACCAGAAAGAGAACGCTTTACAGCATAAGTTAAAATAGATCGACTCCTACGCAATACGGCCTGTGTCGTTGATCCCTTTGCAATGTTTGACAATGCTTTATTCAATGTTTGTTTTGTTTCAAGAAATGGTGAAAGAAGTTTAAGTAAGTAAGGGTGACAAACAAGCACATAGTTCACCTGATGGCAAGTGTATGCTGTGACTCATAGACATCTATATTAAATTATTTATCCTCAATTCAAAAACATTATGAATATTACGAATTTTTCGTAATATTCCAATATTCATAATGTTTGTAGTCTCCCCTGAGGACTAAGATGGAATGCCTCGTTTCTAGTAAAAAGTATCGCCGTTTCTCTACACTCACCATACAAAACACAGCAGTATTAAAGCTGCTATTTTATTCTGGTATTCTGTGAGAGCGTGGTCCTTCTCCCGTCGAGCCGACCCATTCGTGCTACAACCTTAATATAGCTGCAGCGTGGCTCTACTACGTACAAAACAACATGAGTAATTCTTTCTTTGTTGCTGTATAATCCTTATCCTGAATATATAGCGTTACCATTAAAACCTATCAAAAGTCCACAACTGAACAAAGGCCTCCCTATACATTGTCCGATAGCGAGGATATATGACGTAAATATATAATTGCCAGGCTCGGCAGATTAGCAACAGTCGTTTTATTATTTTTTAGTTATTACGAAGACGCTGCGTGGCCATTTTCTGTTGTTTGACTCTATCTCCTCTTCTATAATGTGTAAAATGTAAATTGCTACGTCTAAGACGATGATGAATCCTAACTACCTTAACTGTAAAACATACAACTGCAAGACTTCAAGATAATATAAGTTCATACTGTGTAGATCAGAACAAAAATAAATAATTTTAATCTGTGGGTAATCGCAGTTAACTATGACGATGTCATAGTTAACTGCGATTACCTCAGTTCCATCTTTCTTATATCTATGGTTATATCCCAGTGACCATGGGTGCTGTAAAGAGCTCGAAAAAGTTGGAAATATAAAAAAGTTAATAAACGCGATCAAATCCGTAAAAACTAGTTTTATTTAAATGTAGTGTTACCGCAATTGCTTTACTTTGCTACTTCATCAATCGAAAGAATAATAACGTTCAAACTGTATACGTGTACGTATACTATAGGTACATCCACGTGCCTTTAGCGCGCTTCTGCAGAGACTCAATCTTTAAATAAATCTTTAAATAATTCCAAGCTAGGATCAATAAGAGTACCTAAGCTCAAAAATTCAATGTATTTTATGTCTCTATCTACCTGGGATATAAACTAAAATACCTAACGCAACGCATTTATTCTTATACTACAGCAGTGGTAGTATGTATATATAATAAGCCACATAAATGTTATAATTCTAAAACCATAATAAAATTCCACACTAATACCTAAACAGTAAACATAAATATTGCTACAAATAGAATAACACCAAGCGATTTTAAAATGTCCGATAAAAGCGTTACAAAAATAAACAACACTCACTGGTCACATTACCAACGCGAATCAAATGGTACATTCAAATGATGTTAATCAGGTCAGTTGCTAGACTAAGATCGTCGCAAAACGTTTGTGACTTGCCCTAAATTTCTTTTATTGGCAAATCGTTATCAACATCTTGGTCACAACAAATCAGAATATTTAAGAAAAATATACTATTACTTTTTATAAATACAACAAGAATTATATTATAATGCATACTAAATGCTTCAATGCAGTTCGAGTCTCAGTTTTGAAACAGTAACCTAAGAAGAATGAAATTACGACGAAGCTAGCTTAAGTCATGTAAATGTTTACTTGTGTGAGTCCACCGAAAGACACAATTTTTTCGCATACTCTACAGTCGTGTCGCACAGTGCCGCATACTGTTAAATCGTGACTACGTTTGCATGTGTTTCAGTGTAATTCGGCATCTTTTTGCAGACGAGCAGGATTCCGATGATCGAATTATGGTGGAAAATCCTTAATAACACAAATTTCACGGAATGGTGATGGAGAACAGCATAACGAGTACTAGAGTACTCGCTCTGAGCTTACGAAATTGCCCGTCAGTTAGCACACTCAATGGTCTACATGTCTGGCAGAGTAGTTAGAAAATTCGTTGATGAAATCTTGGGATAAAAAATTGATTTCGGGAGTTTAATTTATGTCAATATGATATAGTTTGGTGTTCACGAACATGTAGGAAACTTTAACTAACTTAGGAAAATTAAATTAAACCGAAACCGACCCAGTGGATTTCTTTCGGCTTGTTTTTGAACAATAATTGCGAGGGGCGGCTGAAAAGTTCGCGGCCTAGGGTACTTAACGATGAGTAATTAGCTTGTTACTGATGTCACTAGTTGCAACACTCAGTAGTATTATAAAATCAATCACTAATCAAGTTTGCACAAATAGTTCAATTATTTATTGAACATCAAACATCACCGCGCCGTGATAGAATTCCTCGTAAAGAAGGGAAATACACCGAAAGACATTTTTAAAGGTATATCATCGGTTCTTCAGGATTCTGCGGCTTCATATACGATGGTGAAAAAATGGGCCCGCATATTTATATTTTATCAACAAGAACGCGAGCTGTGAGAAGACCCTCGCCTTGTCACGGTACTGACCAAAGAAAACGTCCGAAAAGTAAAAAAAAAAATCGTTCTGGCCGACCGAAGAATTAAATTGTGGCAGATTGCTGAAGAACTGCAGATTAGCAAAGAACGCGTTGGATAAATTTTACAGGAAAATTTGAATATTAGAAAAATTAGCGCGCGCTGGGTACCGAAAATGCTCAACAACGCTCAACACGCAACGTCGACTCGCAAGTTGCGATATGGAAGTAGATGAAACATGAATTCGTCACTATGCAGTAAACAAGAGTCCATGCAATGGATAAAAAAGGAGAAAGGCCGCCGAAGAAATTCAAGGTGGAAAAGTCGGCGTCCAATTTAGAGGCGACTGTTTTTAGGGATAGCGAGGAAATTTTGCTTATCGACTACCTACCCAGGGGAACTACAACGGATGGCCAATATTACGCTAATTTATTGACTCAGGTTCGCGACTTACGGGGCCGGAGATTTGCAGATGACAAAGACATGAAAGCTGAGGTTGTTCGTAATTTTGAAGCGAAAGATACAGAAAATTCTTTGGGTAAGTTAAAGGCACTATATGCGAGATGTGAGAAATGTATTTCACTTGGGAAACATTATATTGAAAATAAAAAATAGAAACCATATATTTTCTTTTATTAAGTACCCAAGGCCGCGGACTTATCAGCCGGTCCTCGTATATAATGTAAATAAAGTATTATTTTATTCATAATATACGTACATACATACATAAAAAGTCACGCCTGTCACCCAGAGGGGTAGGCAGAGACTATAGACTTCCATTTAGCACGATCCTGACATACCTCTCTCGCCTTTTCCACATCCATATACCTACGCATACATGCTCGTCGGTTAAGGGTACTCTTAATTTGGCCCACTTTTAATATATCGCCAATTTGGTCGACAAACTTTCGC